ACTGCATTGGGTAGAATGGACATTTTAATTATATTAATTATTCCTATTTGTGAACATGGTATGTGCTGCCACTTTTCTGTGTTTTCTTCCGTTTCTTTCTCCAGTGTCTTGTAATTTTCTGAGCACGGTTCTTTTACATCCTTGTGCTAAATTTATTTCTAGGTATTTCGTTCTTTTTGAAGCAACTGTAAATAGGATTGGTTTTTTAGTTTCCCTTTCTGATAGTTCATTATTGATGTATAAAAGTGCAGCTGATTTCTGGATGGTTTGTATCCTACTTTACTGAATTCATAAGTTCTAGTAGTTTATGGGTCGAGTCTTTAGGGTTTTCTATATACAGTCTCATGTCATCTGCAAGTGATGACAGTTTTACTTCCTCCTTTCCAGGTTGGATGCCTTTTAGTTCTTCTTCTTGTCTCGGATTTCTGTGGCTAGGACTTCCAGGACTATGTTGAATAAAAGCGTGGAAAGCAGACATCCCTGTCTTGCTCCCTCCCAGTCTTAAGGAAAACCCTTTTAGTTTTTGCCCATGGAGTATGATGCTGACTTTAGGTTTGTCGTATATGGCCTTTATTATGTTGAGGTATATTCCCTCTGTTGCCACTTTGTTGAGAGTTTTTATCATAAATTGGTGCTGGATCTTGTCAAGTGCTTTCTCTACATCTACTGATATGATCAAGTAATTTTTATCCTTGATTTTGTTTATGTGATGTATCACGTTTATTCATCTGCGAATATCGCAGCCGCCTTACATCCCCAGAATAAATCCCATTTGGTGATGGTGTCTGACCTTTTTAATGTGTTGCTGGATCCGGTTTGCTAGTATTTTGTTGAGGATTTTTGCATCAATGGTCATCAGGGATATTGACCTATAATTTTCTTTATATGTAGTGTCTTTATCTGGTTTTGGAATTAGGATAATGCTGCCCTCATAAAATGAGCTTGGGAGTCTTCCTTTTTCTTGAATTCTGTGGAATAGTTTGAGAAGGATAAGTGTTAGTTCTTCGTTGAATGTTTGGTAAAATTTGCCTGTGAAGCCATCTGCTGCAGGACCTTGTTTATTCAGAGTATTTTTTTATTTTATTACTGCTTCAATTTCACCAGTTGTAATCTGTGGTCTCAGATTTTCTGATTCTTCCTGATCCAGTTTTGGAAGATTGCATGTTTTTAGGAATGTATCCATTTCTTCCAAATTGTCCAATTTGTTGGCATATAGCTGTTCATAATATTTTCTTTGTATTTCTTTGGTGTCAGTTGTTACTTTTCCTCTTTCCTTCCCAATTTTATTTATTTGGATCCTTTCTTTTTTCTTGATGAGTGTGGTTAAAGGTTTGTCCATCTTGTTTATCTTTTCAAAGAACTGGCTCTTCATTTCATTGATCTTTTGTATTTTTTTTAGACTATTTTCTTTATTTCTGCTCTGTAAACCTTGTTTATAAGATGTCTCTTCAGCTAGTCTTCAGTTGGTTATTTAGGTTGATTACGCTACATTTTAGCCCCAATTCTAGTTTGGCTGGGAGGAGGTGAGTGTAGCTTCCCCTACTCTGCCAATATCTTGAATCTTCCTAAGTATTTTATTTTTTTAAATGGAAATAGCAAATGTGTTAACTAAACATTGAATGGTACTGCTTTATGATATTTCACTACTGTTTTTAATTTGAAAAAACAAATGAAACAATTTTACAATGAGGACTCAAGATACTTAGCAAATCAAGTTATTTTATTTCTCTATCTTAAGATAACTAATATGATTCCAGCGACTGAAAAACTATTATGTCATATTCAACTGTGTTATTATTTCAGAAATAAATTACCTTCTTTCTTTATCACTAACCCAACATTTCTTTCTCCATTGAAACAAAAAGTTCTCAAGTTTGAAAGTAAAAGTACCATTTATAAAAATAGTGGAGTGCATTTGGTGAGACTTCACCTTATTATAACACCACATTACAGAGTAAGATCAACTAGTCAGAACTCCCATGTCAACATTTACCTGTTGAATAGAAGCACAAATGATATTTTTAAGTAAAAGCTGAGATAAAATTCTGTACTTTGTATTACTTTGTACTTGATGACCCCATGACACTAGCACAGAGAATAAAACCTAAGTAATCTAATTACAATTAGATGACAAAGACTATATAGTTCAGCCAAGAGATGTTTAATTTTTTTCTGTATGTAAGTTGGTCTAGCTAGACCACAGAAATTTGGTCTGCATCACCGTTTCCTAACAAATCCTCCCACAGCAGCCATCGCCAGGGTGTATCAATCGACCCAGTTCCACATGGACCACAGAGCTTAGGAATCTGGGGACCACAGATGGAAGATGAGTGGTCCATCGTTGGTACTGTTTCAGACCCAGGACTTAATTGAAACAATGGGTGGGACAAGAAGCCAGAGCCAAAAAAGCTTCTGCCAAATAATTATGATGAAATATGTAGGTATAAATATGAGAGGTTTGCACAGGCTTGAGTACAGCGTGAGACGTAAGTATGGATCAGGGTGCCCTAGACTCGTACAACAGTGAGGATTGAGGCCGCCAGTCGGGACTCGGTGATGGTTCGCCTCTTGCAGGGTTTTGCTAACATGCCATTTCAGGGCAGAGCTTAGTTCCGTTCCCCAAACGCGTCCTAATTGCCATTTATTTTTCTCACTTCCCTTAACAGCATGCCCTACCAGTCCCAACAGGATCAGCATTTAGTGAGGAAAAAAGAGAACTGAATCTCTTCGCAGAATTTCTGCATACTTTTTGAGTAACATTATATTGATTAATGAGTGTTCTGAATTCCCACTTGCATTTCTCCTCTCAGAGATTCCACTTCAAGCCATTATTCTGCTGAATCTTTTTTTAAACATTCAACTATTACTTTATAGTATTATGCTTAAGTTACATGGAAAAGACAACCAAGCAGCTCTGCCCCATTTCAGGAAAAGTTTTCCAGGCAGCCCCAATTACGTGGTGACAAATAACCAGGGATGGTGACATCTGTGGGTAAAGACTGGCGAGAAAGAAGGGGCTCTGGTGCTGGGTTCGCCTCCAGCAAGAATATGACACAGTGGCCAGCACCAGCCATACAAACACTGAACCTCCAGTGCTGCTCACAAATCCGGATCTCTTCCCTGAAGCTAGCAAATCAGGTGAAATAAGTGGGTTAAAAAAAAGCTTTAAAGTGAACCCCAAATAATTAAAAACCATCCTCTTGACACATTTACCTTTCAAAATTTACATAAAACATACCTTTCCACTCTAACAGTGCAGATTTTTTCCCTCAGATAACCCACCATGTAGCTGCAGATGGACTGTTCTGCCTTGAGATGTAAAAGAAGGGGGG